TAGCTGTGTTGTAATTGGTCAGTTTGTGGACGTGCTCTGATTGGTCGGCTTATAGCTGTGTTGTAATTGGTCAGTTTGTGGACGTGCTCTGATTGGTCGGCTTATAGCTGTGTTCTGATTGGTCAGTTTGTGGACGTGTTCTGATTGGTCGGTTAGTAGAAGTTTTTACCTGTGGAGCTCCATAGATGTACAGCACAAGCGGCTCGTTTTCGGGGATGACAAACCACGCCTTCTGCCAGCCCCGCCCCCCTCCTTTCTCCATGTGGTGAAGGAAACTGCAGATCACGCTGTTCTCTGCAGCCAGTGAGGCCTGTTTCTATGGCAACAAGAAAAAGATGGACAGAGTCAGACCTCTGTCATCAGGAACATGAGGTGATGTCACAGTGATGTCACACTGACCTCCAGGATGGACCGCCTCCTCTGGGTGCTGCTGCTCAGCCCGGCGGGCGACGGCAGCACGCCAACCAGCGTGGCGTAGCAGTCAACACATACCCGGTTGGTTCGGTTGTTGTCATACGACAGACGAGCACGAAATTCGGAGCACTTCCCACAAACCACCTGGAGAGAGCAGGGACAGACAGACGGACGGTCAGCGGCGCTCAGAGCCTCGACATGGATCATCTGAACACCAAAGGCGGACGTACATGTCCGCAGGCTTTGCAGTGATGGCGGCGCTTGGTGATGGAGTTAAACGGCTCCTGACACTTCATGCACAGAGTGACTTCCTTCTCCCTGATAGGTGTCGGCGCTCGCTTCCCGAGCTCCACACAGCTCTGAAGGCAGACAGACGGACAGGTTTATAGACAGACTGGTTGACAGACAGCCCTCTGAGGTTCAGGTTAGCGTGTTGCGCAGGGTGTGGTTACCGGGGAATGTGGTGGCGTGGAGTCGTCGTCTCGCAGCGAACAGTTCAGGTGTCTGAAGCTCTCCATTGTCTGCTCGTGTCTCTGAATCGTCGTCTGGATGGCCTGAAACAAAAGTTTTCAGTGTGTCACAGCTACGAAGAGCACAACGAGGTAAATCATCCAGTGTGAAGCTCCTGCTGCTGTGCATGAATGTGTGACCTTCTCTCTGATTGGACCAGCTGCTGTCTGATGCTGCAGGTGTTTCATGAACTCAGAGGAAGAACTCCCGAACAGCTGAACCAACGGCACTATTCATTATTAATGTGACTGTTACTGACTCTGTCTTCATGAACACTTTGCTGTTTTTAACTGCCCCTAACGTCCTTTTAACTATGGCTGTACTTGTATGTTGTTTTAAATGTGTTTGTTTTTATGCCTGTCAAAGAAAAATTTCTGTCACTTGTGACAGACAATAAAGTTTATCTTTTATCTTTATCTTTATCACAGGAAACTCAGGCTGTGTTTTGTTTGTTGTTTTGTAGCTGTGACAGTTTGCAGCCCTGGTGGTTGTATTTTGTTCTGGAGCATTTTTTAAACTATATTTTGAAATAGGGGCTGCAGGTGTCTCGCCGGTTGGCGTCCCGGTGAGGACACCGGGATCTTTCTGCGTGGAGTCTCCATGTTCTCCCCGTGCAGCGTGGGTTCTCTCCGGGTTCTCCGGCTTCCTCCCACAGTCCAGAAACATGCTGAGGTTAATTGGTGATTGTAAATTGTCCGTATGTGTGAATGTGAGTGTGCTTGGTTGTCTGTCTCTAAGTGTAGCCCTGTGATAGACTGGTTACCTGTCCAGGTGAACCTGCCTTCACCCTGAGTCAGCTGGGATAGGCTCCGCCCCCCTAGTGAGGATTAAGGTGTAGAGATGATGGATGGATTTTGAAATTGTTCTGGGGAAAGACCTCAGGACTGCACTGCTACATCACATTATAGGAACAATGAGGCGACGAACTCTGGTCTCAAACCAACCTGCTAACAAACCGGTTCATCAGTCTGATTACATCCTTTAATCACGTCGTTTCATGGATGTAGTTACTCTCCCAGCCGGGTTGTTTCGATGAAAAGACAACTCAGTGAGAGGGAATAAAACATTTTAAAAGAAGACTGCAGTAAAAAATGATCTGTTAAAGGAAATAAATGTTCAACAGCAGCTGTTCTCGCATTAAAGGTTCTTGTTCAGATTTTAAACAACTAATCTGACAAAGCTTCTGTTGACGTTTCTCTGAAGTGGAAACTTCAGGCTGAATCTCCAGAAACTCGAAGTGAAACATCATGAATCTCTGAATGTCCACCAGAACCGACTGATCCAGACCTGATTATGTTAACCAGCTGTTCTGGACCATCAGAGTAAAGAACCAGGCGGTGCTTACCTGGATCCAGTCTTTCTTCTCCTCCTCTGTCCTGAAGACACAAAACAACCAGAATGAGTGGACTGACTCAGAATCAGCTTTACTGGCCCAGTTTGTGTGAACAAAGAAGAAATCTAACTCCAGTTTTTCTGTTGTTTTTAAAGTACTGACAGAAAAAGAACACAAAGAAAGAAAAACGATTGTCTCACTAGATCTCTGTAAAGAGCACCAAAGCTTGGCTTCAAATGGTGCAGATCGTGATGACACAGAAATAAACAGAAGAATAACTCCAAAGATACTGAGACGTGATGACATGAGGCAGGTTGATGGGCCTGCACAGTCAACGGGTATTACTATACAGTAAATACAGTGTATACAGTACACACAGTATACACACAGTATATACTGTGTGTATATACAGTATGTTCAGTATATACCGCTATCCTGAACATACTGTATATATATATATATATATATATATGTATACAGTATACACAGTATATATATACACACATACTGTGTGTAGCGTATATACAGTGAGCACAGGGTGACTGACTGTCAGCATAACTGCTATTCGGCTTTTCTTTGACCATCGGTGTTGTTATTTATATTAATAACTTCTGGATGAAATGATGTCCTCCTTGGTTCTGACCCGCCTCCTCTCTGTCACTCTGTGGTCTCTGTGATGTCCCGCCCACAGCTCTCTCTGATTGGTTGCATGTCAGCAGTAACAGCCAATCACTGAGAGCTGCTGTTTACAGACGGGACAGACGAGCACCTGACGGGCTGCAGACCACAGCTGCTCAGCATCCCCTGAACACCTGAACAGTTTACCTGTTGGTGTCAGTGCAGCTGCAACTGATACTGCTGACAGTGCTAGGCCAATGCTAACACTGAGCGGTTAGCTGTGCCTTTAAGCCTGCGGCTAACGCTGTCTGTAGTCAGATTAACTCTCTTCTGACTAACAGACTCATCAACCTGCAGAAACTGAATAAGAAGCAGAAACATCACCCAAATCAGGACATTAGCTGCTTTCACAGCGGCTAATGTGACTCCAGTGGCTACAGCTAAGTTATCAGAGAGCCACAGATTAACATGAAACTGAGTCTGAAACCATAAGTTATGATGCAGGAAGCTCTGGACTTCAGCAATCAGTGGTCCATGACTTCTTTATCACTTGTTATGGCTCCAGACTGCCACACTGTGAAGGTCAAACTCCACACAGTCACATTGTGATCACTGTGATGTTGTGGTTCTCCTCTAAGGCCTCTGACAGTCAAACAGTCTGTTCAGCTGATGACCGCAAAAACCAAAGTGAGGGGGCCCGGTAGCTCAACCGGATCAAGGCGATCCACGTGCAGGCTACGGTCCTCCTCCTGAACGTCAGCAAGACCAAGGAGCTGATGGTGGACTATAGCAAGAAGCAGCAGAGGGCACACCACCCACTCAGGATGAGACAGAGGTGGAGCGAGTGGAGAGCTTCAGGTACCTGGGTGTCGACATCACCAGGACCTGACGTGGTCCTGTCACATCAACACCCTGGTGAAGAAGCTCCACAGCGTCTCTACCTCCTCCGATGCCTGAGGGACTTTAAGCTCCCTCTCAAGGTGCCCAGGAGCTTCTACACCTGCACCATGAGAGTGTTGTGGCTGGGAGCATCAGCACCTGGACGGGCAGCAGCACCCAGCAGGACTTCTGGGCCCTGAGGAGGGTGGTCCGCTCCATCAGAACCACCCTCCCCAACCTGCAGGACATTTACACCAAACTATGCATGTTAAAGGCCAGGAAGATCTCAGTGAGCCACCCACCCCAGCCACAGACTGTTCTCTCTGCTGCCACCAGGGCGGCGCTACCGCTGCCTGAAGGCAAACAGAGAGGATGAGGAGGAGCTTCTTCCCTCAGGCTGTCCGCCTGCTGGACCTGGACAGTAGACTCAATAACAGTCCAACCAGTCACGTTGCACTCTGCATATATATATATATATATATACTCGTGTATATATTTATTTATTTATTGTGTGTTTATTCTTACTTTAATTCATTTCCTAATATAGTTTCGGTGTGGAACAGGGATGCAAACATTTCACTGCGTTATTCCATGTATTACTGTGTCTGTGACCAATAATGGCCTTGAATCCTTGAATCCTTGAATCCTTCAGGGAGCATCAGTAAATCATAGTCGATGCTCTGATGTTCAGCAGGTGAACAGTTTAATCTCAGCTTGAAGGAAGGATTTCAGTGAATCAGTTTAAACAAACATAAACTACTCTGTTTTATGGAGTCGCTGTCAGTCTGTCCATCAGCACGTGGACGGATTCCTGCTGCTTTGAGGAACCCAGATCATGTGTTCATGTTCACAACTCGTGCTGTTTTATGGTTGTTCTGTGTCGAGATGATCAAACATTTTAAATACATACGAATGTCCTGTACATGTGGTATATACAGGACACACAGTGGCAGCTCCACGGCTTGTTGCTGTGCTCAAGTCGTGTCTTCAGCTTCGATCAGAGTGAGTCCTGCTGTGTGCCTGTGGTTCCTACCTGGCCTGCAGCTCCAGAGATCTTTGTTTTCCAGAAACCAGGAATGTCCGAGGGACGGCCACACTGCTGGTCTCCTTCAGCTGAGGACACACAAACACTGTGACACATGCGTCCCCCAGAGAACCTGCAGAGAACCTGCAGAGAACCTGCAGAGAACCTGCAGAAAACCTACAGCATCTCCACACAGCAGCCACATGCATCAGTGATTCACACTTCATTAAACAGAAAACAAACACGCTGCAGCACAGGAACACCATCAGAACACAAGGAGCCCAAACCTGACGACTGAAGTTACAACTTCACAGCAGAACAGAACCTGCAGCGAGAACCTGAGCCACCTTTGACCACAGACGCTGACACTGTGCTGTTGTCTGTGGGAAATTTAAATGTAAATTCCAATTCAGTGTGAAAAGAAAGGAGCAAACTGCAGCCACATAGTTCTGCATCAGAGAAACACTTTCAGTTCCACAAAGAACCTTGTAGGACCCAGTTCTTCAAAGAACTATTTATTCAAATCATCCTTTAAAGAAACTCCAAAAGAGCCTCAAAGAACCATCAAAACCGGTTCTTTCAGGCTCCATAAATGGAGGTCCAAAGATTCAGATTCCAGTTTGGGTCTGTTGGTTCTGTTGAGTTCTGCTGGCTCTGTCGGGTTCCTGTGTGTCGGGGTAACTGGAAGTCTCACCTCCATCCCGTCGACGTCGATGCGAGCGCGGACGCCGTACTTCTGACCAATCAGGCGCAGCTTCGGGACGCAGTACAGCAGCCGGTCGTTGAACTGCAGACAGAGACAGACGTCAGCCGCTGCTGTTGCCATGACAACGGCAGGACAACACACCTGAAGAGGACGGACGGTACCAGGATGAGGTATCGGTCCTGTGTGGTTCCGTTCTTATTGGACAGCTTGAGGATGTGACCCTCCTTGATGAGCTCGTTGGTCGGGTTCACGATGTCTTCTTCTCCTCCCAGCAGCTCGTACACCTTCAGCAGCTTCCTCATTCGCTCCTGAGGACAAACAGCAGCAGTCACTCACCTGGAGCTCTACCTGCACACCAACCAACAGGTGCAGCTTTCAGCTCTTCACAAAGTGGAATCATCAGAAATAAACATGAATGTGAGATCAACAGAACCGTTGTGGTTTAGAGGATCTGAGGCTGAAGTTCTGATCCGGTCAGCAGCTTTTAGGAGCGACAAGAAAACAAGACGTTGAAAGGTGCTCGGACCTGGTTCAACATCTGAGCAGGTCCTGCTGGAGGTCTTAGAGGAGAATGGGTCGACCCAGAACCTCAAAGAGAAGGAATCCTCAGAGCTTCAGTAGAAGAACTGGACCACTCTGTCACCTCATGGTTGTGGAACATTCTGAGTAGGAATCTCAGGACTGTATTCTAAGAGCCTGGCAGATGTAGATCTCCTCCTCTGTTCCAGCTGAACATCGATGTTCTTCATCACTCCTCTTTCAAACCTTCTGTCTTCTCCATCCAGAATGTGGTGTGTGACTGTTTACAGACCATGGGTCATGTGATTTGGAGGTGAGAACACACACCTGAATCTTGTACCTGAACCAAACAGAGACATCCAGTTAGTTTTCACTGGAGCTCTGAGGACTATCAGAACCTGACAACTGACAATCTACATAGACTTGTGGTCTTTGAACACCTCAGATCCTCGTGGTTGGACATCTGGACTATAACCTGCTGGACCTGAAGACTGTGGACTAGAGGACTAGAAACAGCCGGAACAGTGCAGAACAACTAATGGAAATATGTCCAAGTGCAATATCCATCCGACGGCTCTTTGAATTGTCGCTGAAGTTTCTTAAGGCGTCTCTTAATCCTTGTCCACCCAGAAGAACCAGGTGCTGGTTCCAGGGCTCAGTTGGGTCACATCTGGCACCTCCTCAGAACCTGGTTGCTTCTCCATCAGCCAGGAGCCCAGTCAGAACCGTACGTCACTGCACACGGAGCCGTTTACTGAACAACGCTGGCGCCACACAGAAGTCCACACAGGAGTCCAGACGGACTTTGGTACCAGTGTGACCCACTTTCTCATCTGGTCTCACTTCCCACCTGGTCACAGGAGAAACATCTGACCTGCTGAACATGTTCTTATCCATAGACGCTACAGTTTACGATGTTCCCTGAACGCCCCACATAGCAGGCTGCGCTAGCTGCTGCTGGTGGCCGCGGTGCTCAGACCGGTGTGAGACCAGAGATGACTTTAACAGAGTGAACCAGGAGGTTCTGGTGTCACATCTGTCCAGCATGAAGCCCAGTGATGTGTTCTCATGAGGTCTTCTCTATGAGCAGAACAAACAGTGTGTAGCTGAGGTCCGTTTGTCACCAGAACACCTCATTTCTAAGCTAAATACCGACGTTCTAACAGTCCTGTTCTCCACCACTGTGGTGCTGCTGCTGGGACACAGTTGGACCGGACTTCAACAGTCTGTGCAGAACCTCCGTGTGTCCCATCCATCGGTCCCAGTGGTCCCAATAGCCCCGCTCCCAGCCCCTGACGGACTCGGTGCTTAGCTCTGGCCCAGCAGAGAGTTGGTGCCTGAAAAGCACCGGTTCTGAGAACCCAGAGCCGGTGCTTAGGCGGTGGAAACACAAAGAACTGGTGCTGAGTCAGGCTTTGGCTCTGAACCAGACCTGGAACCGGTTTGGTGGAAAAGGGGTACGAGTGAAAAGAAGATTCTTCTGCTGTTTTCCTGACAGTTCAGGATAAGAACATCAACTCTGACAGCTGATTCCAGCAGCATGATCTGGTCTCAGGTCAGCATTAGTGTGTCTGTGAAGGCATCTCACCATCTTCCTGATGGCAGCGTTGGAGTGTTCGGCTGCTGTAGCGATCAGCTCCAGAGACTCTGCAGAGAGACACAAATCATTTAAAATGTGTTCTTCATTTGAAGTGGATCCTTCATGTTCTGTCAACACAGAAGTGTGTTGTTGTGTGTCTGCTGTCGTACTCTGGGCGTCCCGGTGGTCCGGAGCGTCCTCCGGCAGCCGGTGCAGATAATCTTTGAGCAGTAACTCATAGCGAGGAATCCTCTGGACCGGCTCCAGCATGTGGTGCTGCAGCGTGAGGTTTCCACAGCGCTCCTCCCTCTGCAACACAAACACAATGTCAGCGACAACAACACAATGCAAACACACGTCGCCAAATGCCATGTGGAACCCTCTGAACTGTGAACAGTTTCTCTGTGTTTTTCTGTCTCCCATCTTATTTTTCTCAGCAACATAAAGTCCTGCAGCTCTGTGGAACCAGAACATGAAGAAGAAGGAGAGAGAACTCAGAGACGTCTTCGGTCAGCAGGACTCAGAGCGACAGGAATCAGAAAAGCTGCAGAGCCAACATGTCAGACATGTTCCCACAGATGTTAAACCCTGGAACTCATGTTGTCTCCTTGTCCTCATCATTTTTCTGAAGCGAGCAGCCCTGGTGGAGAGAGAAGTGCCGCGTTGGTCTGACCAATCAGCAGCCTTTACTGTCTCCTCAGAATAACTCCGTACAGCCACTAATGTCCAAACCGCTGGCAGCAGAAGTGAGCACACCCCTCAGTGAGAATGTCCTGATTGGGCCCAGTCAGCCATTTCCCTCCCCGGTGTCATGTGACTGGTTAGTGTTATAAGGTCTCAGGTGTGACTGGGGAGCAGGTGTGCTAGATTTGGTGTCATCGTTCTCACACTCTCTCCTACTGGTCACTCGAAGTTCAACATGGAGCATCATGGCAAACAACTCTCTGAGGATCTGGAAACAGACTTGCTGCTCTGCATAGAGATGGTCTAGGCTATAGGAAGACCGTTAACACCCTGAAACTGAGCAGCAGCACGGTGACCAAGACCATAAAGCGGTTTAACAGGACAGGCTCCACTCAGAACAGGCCTCCCATGGTCCACCATGGAGCTGAGTGCACGTGCTCAGCGTCACATTCACAGGTTGTCTTTGGAAAGTGGACATAAGAGTGCTGCCAGCGGGCTGATGGGGGTCGGCCCGTCACTGCTCAGACCAGACGACGCATCAAAACTGGTCAGCATGGCTGCCATCCCAGAAGGAGGCCTCTTCTAACGGTGATGCACAAGAACGCCCACCAACAGTTTGGTGAAGACAAGCAGCGTGAGGACGTGGATTACAGGAACCATGTCTTGTGGTCTGATGAGACCAAGACAAACTTATCTGGTTCAGATGGTGTCGAGCGTGTGGTGGAAACCAGGTGAGCAGTACAAAGACAGGTGTGTGTTGCCTCCAGTCCAACATGGTGGTGGGGGTGTCATGGTCTGGGGCTGCATGAGTGCTGCTGGCTTGGGACATCCTGAAGCACAGCATGATCCCCTCCCTTCAGAAACTGGGCCACAGGGCAGTATTCCAACGTGACAATGACCCCAAACACACCTCCAAGACAACCACTGCTTTGCTGAAGAAGTTGAGGGTGAACGTGATGGACTGGCCAAGCATGTCTGCAGACCTAAACCCTACGGAGCATCTGTGGGGCATCCTCAGACGGAAGGTGGAGGAGGTCTCCAACATCCACCAGCTCCGTGATGTCGTCATGGAGGAGGATTCCAGTGGTGACCTGTGGAGCTCTGGTGAACTCCATGACCAAGAGGGTTTAGGCAGTGCTGGAGAATAATGGTGGCCACACAACACGCTGACACTTTGGGCCCAAATTGGGCACTTTCACTTAGAGATGTACTCCTTTTTGTCGCCAGCGGTTTAGACATGAATGGCTGTACTGAGTTATTGTGAGTAGACGGTAGATCTACTCTGTTACACCAGCTGTACACCGACTGCTTTACTACTACTGACTACAACATGGTAGCAAAGTGTCATTTCTTCAGTGTTGTCCCGGGAAACGATATAATAAAATATTTGCAGAAATACTCATTTTTGTAATATACTGTATGTATAATTGTGACCAATAAAGGCCTTGAATCCTTGAATCCTGCAGATGTTGAGCTATCTCCATGTTTCCAGACTTTTTCTCTCTGCTCTGCTCATCTGATGCAGAAAGATGTTCCATCATCAGACGAATGCATCTCCACCAACTGGCTCCTCTGGTCTCTGGTTCTGATCCGTGCTGCATTTATTCATTGATCCAGTAGGTTGGGGATATTATTTTGTGGTTCAGGAAGGTAACTGACACTGTTGAGCCACAACAGCAGGTCCAAACAGCTCTCCATGAATCAGACCTTCTTAGACTTGGAGGATCTGGATCTTGGCCTGGTTCTGCTCTTTAGGCCCTGTGCTCTCTTATGTATTGTTTGTCTTTTCTCCATTTGCACCTTCCTCATCCCCACTCTCACCCCACCCAGTCATGACAGATGGCTGACTTCCCTGAGTCTGGTCCTGGTTCTAAAGGAGTTTTGTTTGTCTTCCAGTTAAAGGTTTTTGGGTTTTTTTGGTTCCTTCCCACTGTTGTCGACTGCTTGCTCAAAGGGAATTCAATGGGAACGTTGTATTTTTGGGTTCTCTGTTCAAAATTCGTAAGGTCTTCACCTCGCTCTGGAAGTGCTAAGCGATGACGTGGTGAACTGGCACTATATGAATAAAACTGAACTGAACTGAATTGAATTGGCTCAGGGTGCAGGAACACTTTAGCAATGGAACCTACCTGGATCTCCTGAATGATGGCCTTGAACTGGGCCGACCTCTCCATCCAGGTGTTGACCAGCTCCATGGCTCGGTCGAAGTTCTTCACATACTCTCCGTACATCTTCAGGAAGGGGGCCAACTTCTGCAGGATGTCGCCAATCCGAGGGTTCGAGTCCCTGCAGGACAGACAGAGGAGTGAGGGGACAGCAGGTCCAGAGGATGAGCAGAAAAAGAAAGCGATGCTCACCACTCTTCCATGCGCTTCTGCAGCGCTGGCAGCAGGAACTGCTGGTGGAAGCAGTAAATGGAGCAGATGTTGGAGAAGATGCCCTGAACCACATCGCAGGGAAACGAAGAGCGAGACCGAGCCTCCTCCAGGAGTCTGCAACAGAAGACCTGCAGGACGACAAGGACTTTGAGTCTTTTTGTGGTTGTTAATGTGTCTTTGTGGTCATATTGTGTCATCTCCAGACAGAAGGCCGAGGGCGTGACCTCAATATTAGGCCTCTGCCTCTTTTCTTTCCATTAGCTGACAGAGTTGTCGACTCACCTGGTCCAGCAGGTGCAGTTTGGAGACATAGGCCGTCTCGGTTTGCAGCAGCTCATTGGCGATGTTGAAGACTCTCTGCTGGACAGACAGCTGGACATAGAGACAGACAGCAGGTCAACACTTCAAACATGAAAACATTCCAGTTCCTCACGTCCTGAGGCGACCCGGCAGGTCTCTCCCCATTCTTATCCCCCCTTTCCTGTCTCTCTCTACTGCTCTACAAAAAATAATAAAGGCAAAAAATACATTTTAAAAAACGTCCTATCCTTGAACAAACACCGTTTCCCATCAGCCCCTGCGGCTCCTGCCAGAAAACATCAGCAGAGTGTTGGAGCGTATTCAGGAAGAAGTCGATGTTGTAGCTAAAACAGTCGGTTTCTTTGGGCGTTATCTTCCATTGCTCCTGTAACTGATCACCGTCTGCTGTATCGCTGCCTTTAAGTTCACTGTGTGGTCTTGGACAAATCAATGCTCCCTCCTGTGGTTTCCTTCTTCTTCTCACAGTGTTTTCTGAAAGCTCAGAGCTGTGACAGTCTGTTGACATTTTCCCAAATGTTGGACATCACATGAAGCTCATTTTTCACTGGATTAATATGCTGCAGTGTTAGTCAACCCTAATCCATAAGAAGCTTTTATAATCATTTAAGAATTTATTGACTTGTGATTGATAATTCTGTCAATCCTACAAGTCTACAGTTTCATCAGCAGACACTTCTATCCAGAGCAACGTCCATCTGAGGGCAGATCCAACACCAGCAAGATCTGGTCAGGAGAAGACAACCTGGATCAGAGCCATAGAACCGGTTCAGTGTGACAGGGTGCTGATGCCAGTAGCAGGCTGTAGGGAGGGGACAGGGTTTTATTTATTTATTTATTTGTTTGTTTGTTTGTTTGTTTCCAGGCTGTCAGGTGCAGAGGTGTCTGCAGTCTGTTCTTACAGACTGAGAGGGAGTCAGCAGGTTGAACAGTTTGGTAACTGGTTCCACCACCAGAACCACAGAGAAGGAGAGTCCAGCTACTGACCTGGACCTGTTGTGGTGGTTGGACCAGGAGGCTTTTGTCGTTATCAAGCTCATTACTTCATTCTGCATTTGCATTTTTTACATTATGTACGTTAGCTTGGTTAGCTGGTTAGCCACAGGGGCCTCTGGACCCTGTTGCAGGCTGAGTGTTTGGGGTCCTGGACCTCACGAGTTGTAATCATGAGTTTTATTTGAAGGCAGCAACATGCTCCTTCTGTTAATCAACGTTTGCTGCTGAGGAGAAGCAAAGTTCATGGTTCCTCTCTGGAGTAACACTATTCTACACAGCAGCACAGAATGTGGTGCAGCACCTCGCTATCATTCTGCTACAGGGGAAAACACTATATTTCTTTAAACCAATCAAAGCTGTCTTGGGCTCAGATTTTGAGGTTCCACTAAAATAGCGACAAGAAAATTGTTCTGGTGGAACATTTGCAGCAGGGAGTCGAGAACTGCGATTAAACATAAAGTTCACTGAATTAAAAACTGGAGGAGCTGCAATACTGTTGGAGCCAAACCCTCAGCAAAACATACACATTTCAGCGTGTAGGTTGCTGCTCAGGTTTTGTTTCCTGTAGTGAAGCTGATTTGGAAAACAGCAACATGCCCCTAGTAGAAGTACAAGAAATGCATGGCCAATGTGGGCTAAAATAGCTCGTTACACTGTTTCTCTAAGGCTAGCATGGCAGCTAAGGCTAGCTAGTGGTATTGTTTTTACTATGGTTAATAATGGCACCACCTCCACCAGGTGAGTCGACATTGCCTCAGACTTCATGTGAACAGCATTGTGTGGAGACTGCAGCAGAACATTTGTCTTCAGGCTGAAACAGGAACTTTTCTCTGCTCAAAGAGGCGCTGTTGTTTGGAAGATTTCAGTTTGTGTGGCTACAGTGCAGCACGTCCTCTCCAGCTTGCTTTTACCACAGATTCTATTTCAATTACTGTCAAAAAGATCTGCTTCTAATTCCTCTTAGCCCACTGAGCACGCTCAGTCCCATGGTCATTGTTCATGCACCCTTGTTAGCTTGTTGGCTAGTTACCATGAAAATGCTGTGTCTGTTGTTTCCATAAAGTTAGTTTGAATCTCACCTCCACAGAGTCCTGTCGGTCCGTCTTAGTCGCGGGCAGCACTAGCGTTAGCTCCGCCTCCTCCTCCTCCAGGTCGCTGTCCCCCTCCTCAGAGAACTCCCTCCTCCTCCTGGCCCCACCCCTCGCCTCCCCCTCCTCCCCCTCCCCTCCCTCACCAGCATATGAGGATGAGCTGGAGAGGCGGGGAAGGAGGGCGGGGCTACAGGGGTAGACCACGCCCCCATCATCCACACCAGCAAAGCAGAGCTCCTCGCTGTGCGACGGCGAACTGATGCTGTCGATGCCGCTGTCTCGATTGGCCAGCTTTCCGTCCGTCTGCGAGGAAGGGAGGGACAGACGCTCAGATGGCAGCTCTGATTGGTCGAGTGGCGGTGGGGGCGGTGGCTCCTGTGGCTGCTCCCTAATTTCCACGGCAACCATGTCGTCCTCCAGGTGCTTCTCTGAGGCACTGTAACCCGACTCCATGGAAAGACGCTTCTGATGGACGTCAGCACGACACGCAGCCTCCAGCTCTTCATCATCATCATCGTCATCATCATCATCATTGTTGTCTTCGCCATGCAGATCGTCCTCCACCCCCTCAACCTCCTCCTCCCCCCCCAGTGTAACATCATGAGGACTGGTGACCTCACAGGGCGGCTCTTCGTCCGGCAGGGGAGGGACAGGCGAGGAGGCTGATGGTGGGGATGAAGGTTGTGAAGAGGCGGGGTCAGGGAGGCGGGGACAAAGAGCGCCCCCTGTGATGTCCGGAACCACAATAATCTGCTCCCTGTAAACAAGACAGATAAACAAACAACACACTGAAACTGAAGAATATTTACACATTAGACACAAAGCAAACAATAAACAACAACAAACATGCAAATAATCTGTCCACAATAAATACCGAGTGAACAAACAATACACACGCAAAACAGAATAAACAAACACGCAGCAATTAATTAATAATAAACGTATAAAACACAAAAAAACAATGAATAAACAATAAACCAGAAAACACAGTACACGAAATAAACACAGCAGTAAGCACAACAACAACAAACAACAAACAACGACCAGCAGTAAAACATGAGCCGAGATAAAATGTCTGACGTGACATCGTGTCATCTCACACCATCCACAACTCACCGTTCAAACTTCTCGATGAGTGACAGGACACAGGTAGGAGAGGCAGTGCCGTCAGGGCAGCTGGGCGGAGTCCATCCCCCCCGCGGGTCGGCTGGGAGGGGTCTGCAGGGCGGAGGTGGGGGGAGGGGCTTGTCTGGAGCTCGGGGACGTGTCCTTGTTGCCTGCTGCTGGAGGTGGGGGGGCTTTGGGGGCACTGTGGGGTGGAGTCACAGGTTAGCTTGGTTCTCGTGTCATGAACGAACAAACTGCTAGTAACAATAATTAAAGGATCACCCTGTGGTTTGGGCCCCGGCAGTGGGGGCCGGCTCCTGCTCGGTGGGGCTGTCATAGCGGCGGGCAGCTCCGGTGGCCCCGTGTCATTCACCAGCTCTGCCTGCTCCGTCCCTCCCTCCAGGGAGGCAGGGCCCGACGAGGAGCAGCCGGGGCCCAGGTCAGAGCTCGACTGCTGGGCAGCGTCAGCGTCTAGCACCCCCTGGTGGCCGCAGGGCGAGCAGGACGGCTCCAGAGAGAGGCTCTTCGTCAGCAAGCTGGGACTGGAAGAGGAGGCGGGGCCTGTGGATGGGGCGGGACATGTGAGACAGGCCACGCCCATATAAAAATCACTTCTTTTTTAATTAATGAAATTACACAAACTGAAGCGAAAGAAATCTTAACAGCTTAGGTAGGTGTAGGCAGATGTAAGTAGTGGTACAGTGTTTAACACATTTAAGTGTCAGGTTTATGCCACAGCCGCCCTAAACTAACAGCATTGCTAATTAGCAACATCAATTATTATGTTTCTGCCATGATTAATGCACCAGCATGTAGAAGCTCTTTAACCAGAATGATATTTTAATGTTAAAATCTAATTATTATTGTTACACATGAATTTTCAAATTCAGTTTTACAAAAAAATTTTAAAGCACATTATTATTTCTTGACTTAGATGTCAGATTCTAGTTATTTACCTTCATTCCTGACCGGACTGTGACTGGGTCGGTCCTAACCCAGAAACATTAGTTTTAGTGGCTGAATGTTCAACATGGTACAACGTGGAGAACTGAGTCCACATTAAAGCTCTTCATGATGCTGGACGGTCTCTGAGACAAACAGGGAGAGACATGAAGC